TTGCAGAAACCTACGGGTGCTTGCTAGAAATTTTGCCAAACACACACATGATCCATAATAATTTCCCCACTACAAACAGCTAATGTCCATAGTTGCCGGGCTTTGGATCAATTAAAAAAAATATATATTTTAATTTTTTGCGTGTCACCTCGGCCACTTGTGCCATGATTTTGCCATCCCTGGAATATGGTATTATATGGTATTATTTAATATTTTATCAGGTATTATTATTTTTATTTTACATTTCATATTTGGCTATGGTGACTGGTTTTTTGCTAATTGTGTTTTAATTTATTAAATAAAATATATGATAATCATTAATTATGTCCAAACGAAATTTCGAAAGTAGGGCATCAAAAAGGAAAATAATGGTTCAAGATTTGTTAGGTAAATTTGCCAACGATAAAACGCAAAAGAAGTCAAATTTTTTTTATAAACAATATATAGGCTCTAGGTATATGTGGCCCCAATAAATTTATCCCGGTAAAACAAAGTACCAATCCGCCTATACACTACGCGTATTAAAGTAGCAACCCTAGCGATCACAGCCCAGCATGTAGGTATTTAATCGTATTATTCATTTTGGAGCGTTTTTTCGTGAGGCCGCCGTACGAGTTTGATATCCTTAATATATTCTAGCCTTCGTCGATATAACGCTACCACCTTAATTGTTACTAACAGATTTACCCGGAAGAGGGCGTTTTTTGGCGACCAAAACGTCTTATTCCACCGACACCATATAATGCATAAACCAGTCCTGTTACTGTACTACACGAAAGCAGTTGTCTAGTTGGTCAGCATATTAGTGGCTGTAAATATTCCTGATCAATCGTCGCTGAATTTTTTTTCATTTCAATCTTTCTCAAAACGCGATTCGTGTAGCTGTAAAGGTTAGTTATAGTTTGTAATTTTAATAAGTATAAGTATACCGAGATGCTGTTAGTGAACAGCTTAATTCACAAATTATTCATGTCAAATGTTTATTATTTACATTGTTCCAAAATACCCACCTATTGTTAACAGATTGTAAACATCATTATGAATAAAAAAATAATTTAATTGTTAAGTTGTGGGTCTTGTTTTAATATACTGCTCTTGTTCCACCATGTCAGGAGTCAGAATTAATGAGAAAAATATCATATCAGTTGTTTATTATAACAGATATTACATTTTAAATGATAATAAAGACAATTAGTTGCCTAATTTGAAAAATAAATTTTTAAAAATTCATGCATACCTAATAGTAATAATATATATTTTTAATTAATCGAAGATAACCGATTACTTTACAATTGCTTATAAATTGTAACCTTTTGTAATATTTTTTTAATTATCTATAAAATAATATTTTTTAATATATATTAATAAAACCTTACAATTTGAATGATTTCAAGTCAGAGGGAAAAAATATAAATTTATAGTAAATTTAAAAATACGACTTTATTAAATTGAAGTAAAAAATTGTAATTATGGAAAATAAAGTAAGTATTTACTATGTATAATTTATTATATAATTATAATTTTAACTCAGATATATTAAGAATTTTTAATTGTTCATTCGATATGGGAAACATAAAATTGTATTGTTAAGCTATTAAATTATAGATTCTAAAGTCATAAACGTTTCCAAGCGTACAAAATACTGCGATCTATGTAAACAGTTAAATTTTTCGAAACCAGACAGAAATAAATATAATGGTGAATTTAATGTTTGTTTACACGATGTTTAATTATATTACACGATTATTATATTTTATAATAACATGCATTAATTAATTTTAATAAAATTAAAATATCGGATCTTAGTAATGAATTAGTGTTGTTTCATAATTAATTTACAACTAATTGTTATCTTATTTGTTTCACACTGTCACAATTTATATTATAATTATTGTAATTATTATTTATATTTAATCGACTAAGAATTCTGAAAATTGATTTTTAGTCAATATAGACTCTAAATTAAAAACTTGTACAATATCTCAAACAAACTTGCAATCACTTGATTGTTATGAACACTTAATGTTTGAACTTACTAATAAGGATATAATATTAGTTACATGATGAATAAACGATTAGGTAGTATTTTCGTATATTAACCAAATGTAACAAATATATTTTTATTATTTACCTATGATAAACTGTAGGTCCAAAAAAAAAGATTTGAATCCAACAAAATATGAGGTTGAATTTATTTGAAAATCGATTTATTTCTAAATGAATTTTAAGAAATTCGAGTCTAAATTATTTTTAATACTTACGTAATTCTAACCGAATTTTGATTTAAACCATTTAGACAGGTAAAAATGTATCTTATAAATTATGTTCTAGTTTTACGCAAAACTATATTACGTATAATATAAATAACTATTAGGATTATTATTATTATTATTACGTTTTTACTTTTATTTATAAACTATTTCAAAATGGTTATCAAAAAAAAATTAATCTTTTATGATTTTAAAGGTCGTGAAAACTTGGTTCAGATTTTATACTATTAAAGAAGACGATGTAAGTACCTTAATAATACATATAGGTGACCCACTTACACTCCTCCTATCAGTTGTACATATTAACTTACGTCAGTTTATTTTTGCATCAGAAATAATCATATCAAGTAGAATGTAAAAAGTGTAACTACTGTCAAGCAAAAAAATTAATAAGATGTAATGAATTATTCTGACATTCGTATACCACCCTTAAATATATATATGTGTGTATTTCAGGAATTCTTTGAAAGTATTTCTTTTAGTATGGACCTACATATCCATAGCTACCATTGCTTTTGATACATCGGTGACCGCTGCCAAGGAAGGTGATACAAACGTATTAGACGCCGAACAAAAATTTTGTGGAGAATTCCTCGATAGGGCTATAGAAAAACATTGTGTAGATAAACCAAGAATGCTCGTATTCCAGCCGTCAAAGTCACAACAAAGGAATCAAACAAGTGAGGGATAGTGTTATTTACTACAGTGACCATCGATAAAAACTACATTATTATTATACATCCATAATCATGATGTAATTTTGTATGCAATCTGTTTCAGATACTATTGTTGGAAGATTCAAAATAAGAGGAGAAAAACATGGATTTCTTCAAAGACAATGCTGTGAGAAGGAATGCAGCGAAAATTTCATAAAATCGAATTGTCCGGGAACACGTAAAGGGTAAACATAATATTTTTAAAATTAATGAAAAACTGAAATTTTGTTTTAAGTGAAAGCTCTGAAACAAATAACATCATATACACAACCACAAAATATTGAAATTAGAATTTATTTTGTTGAAATGTTTATTTTATAATGTTCCCTACATTACACAATTTTTAAAACATTTTGATTAATTTTTAGTCATTTACAGACGTATGAAACTTGACATTGTTTAATTTTGTATTATATTAATGTCAATAAAATTGTATTTATTTGATCAAAAAGCTAGAATTGAAATACGAGTGTCCTTATAAGTTGTTTTAGCAGCAATTGATAAGTATTAAATATTCATATAGCCACGATTATTTTTAGAAGTATTCAAAATACAAATTTTGACAACATTTGCAAATTATTTTGTAGTTAAAAAATATAAATTGACTATTTTTACACCTAAGAGTTAAGAATTCAAAACAAGGAGCCTTATAAATTGAGTATATTACTGTAAAAAAAAATTAAAAAATATAGAAACACAGTTATTTGTTAAAGACATTTTAAACTAAAATTTGGACACAATTATTAATTAAAACAATGAATAAAGATTTTAAATATTTTGTTGTAATTTGATAATATTATTTGATGGTAGGTACTTGCAACTTGTAGAGTATATTATAACATTTTACACACAATTACTTTTCAAATTCAATTTTCAGCCAAAATGAAATTAACCTACTGTCATAGTAATGCCGAATAGCAAAAGTAACTACTTAAATTGCAATAATATCATACAATTTACTTAGTATTATTTAAGGTTGCCAGACTGTCTTGCTTAGGATCATTTTTCAAATACAATGATTATTGAATTAAAAATTAACATATCCATTACACAATCACTCTCTAGACACTAATGTACACACTTACACATTTTTTTTTTTTGGGATATTGCTATTCAAGGGTCTACATTATTTTTCTACTATAGGATTACGAAAGATCGATTTATTTTTTGCCAAAAACGTCACTTATTTTGAAAATTCCGTTGCGTATAGTAAAATGTATAGTATACTTAAAAGTTGTAAGTCCCAACAAATAATGTTTTTTGAATTTCAACGGAATAACGAACATAGTCTACTAAATATTTATAGTTTCATCATAATTTGAACATAAAATGTCTATCAAAAAAACGGTCTTAATATATTTATTAGATTCTTTTGGGAATTATATATTAATATTATTATGAACTCCTTAAGAGAAACCTTGTTTTAAATATACAATATTTGGCTTTGAAAATTGAAAATTGTATACAAATTTAACAACAGCCAAATTTTCAATTTTATTTATCCCACTGAAAAATCATTTATTAACACTAATTAAAAATAAACTAAATAAAATTGATAATTTCACTTATAAATAGATCGGAATTGGTCAAAATGTTTTGAACATTTTATTTTGTATAGATAATTGTAATGACAAATTGTATGAAAATGTGATTTATGTGTAACTATAAAAAAACGAAATCAATTTAATCAGAAATGTTGTTGTTCCCAACTCTATTGAAAAAATGAAAACCATTTCTGACCCCCCAAAGTGCCAACTAGATTCACTTTTCTGCCAGAAAAAAATGATGATGTATAATTTCGTATCAATTGTACTCCACTAAAAAGTGATTACTAACAAAAAAAAACTCTGAATCTGAAAATATAATACTAAAAAACTGTGTGGTTTCTGGGACTTCAGAAAACATTTAGTATTCATCAGAATTACCTTCTAAATGGAAATAAAATATATTATTTGAATTTAAAAAACACATAGATATCAAAATCATAATTATTCAAAAATCAATATTGTATGAATTAAATATTTACAGTGATAAAGTGAAGAGAATTGAAATTATTGGCCATCAACCAACTACGTCTAAAACCATGACTACTGCAAGACCACGACATAAGTGGAGGTACTTTTATTTAAAATATATGTAATATTAATATTTTTAAATAATGATTCAATTTAAAATAATTATGTTCAGCTTTAAACTTCTCAGCTGCTAGTTGTATAATATTTATTTTGTTTTGGGTTAAAAGCTAGTAAGTGGGTAACGCACTACTGTACATCGGGTGTCTAAAGGAGTCACTAATGGATGTGTTCAATTTGAAAGTAATAGTATAAAATTATTGTATACGAAAAACAATTCTTATTGCCTATAACATTGCCGTGTATATTTTATAATATTATTGTGATTAAAGCAACTTATTTTACTATTACGCATTATAGCACTAGAGAGTAGAGACTACAGTAGATTAAATTAATTTTTGTCAAAAAACATACATTTGAAAATGTCATTCTGTGTACAAGATAAAAAAATATACTTTAAAAGTTTCATGTCAACAAAGCATATTTTTGACAAACAACAAAGTAAATAAACTTGTTATTCTTCGTTTAAATGTCTAATTTAATTTTAATATTCAAATTTTCAAATGTCTCTAAATAGCTCAAAACGAGTCAAAATATTTTGAAAATTCGATCATGTTCAAAAAATGATTAAATAAATATTTGGGGGAAAAAAACGTTTGCAGCTTACTAGATAATATTCTTACTTCTAAATTTCATAACGTGTAAATTTTTTCCCATATTCATTATAACAAATTTAAATGGATTATTCAGAACGTACGATTTTTCATGTTACGCGTTTGTAAGTAAGACCTCTTAATAATTTTTGAATTAAATAAAAATGAAAATCATTCTTTGAGAATACGTTAATTTACCAGTAATTATCCAATGTAAAACTTCGAACGGTCATAAAAAATTATTAGACTTTCCGCTAAACTTTTTATTTTTGTTCAACGAAAGAAAATTTAGGGGGAATCTTGTCTAAAATTGTTAAATCTGAGATGTAGATACAACATTTTTTATATTCATTTCTGACTGATAATGATTTTCAAATATTTGTGATTTTGTCATAATATTCTGACTTCAGACTCCAACAAAAAATTAGTGTTGTTTTTCGTCTTATTACATTATCATGTTTTTTTATCAATCGAAAAATTAATATAAAATAATAATAAAAATCGAAATTGTCTTACACCTAGCTCAAAAACATGCTTAACATGTTAAATCTTGATGACAATAGATATTAATTCATAAAATAACGATTTATTCTCAAACAGTTCTTGTTATTGACTATTAAGTAAGGTATAATAAAAAATAATTGTGCATCCATTTGGCTTAGTCATTGTACTTGTGACACAGCAAAGACCCTTGCAAGACCCTTGCCCGGTTTGTTTCGATTATCATATTATATTAAAAAATTACTAGGTTGGGCTTTAAAAAAGAAGTTAATATCAGAATTATTGTGTTTTTAATGACTAAGTGAAGTGCTTTATATTCACAAAAATTAAATTATCATAGTTCAATAATAAATATTATGCTATTATATTTACAGATTTATTAGGAGGAATAGAACTACTACCACCAGTCGTCCAACTACCACTACAACAACTACTACCATTCGTCCAACTACAACTTCTAGAACCACTACAGAATATGATGATCTATTATATTTTATACTTACATCTTCATAAATTTGTGTTATCAACATTTTAACAATGTAATAATATTTAACAGATATTTTTAAACTGTATTTTGGGAATGATAATATGTATTTTTTTATAATGATAATTTTTTTTTTATATCTACAAGATACATTTTTTTTAGTTCATAAAAATCCTTCAATATTATAACATATTTTCTGTATATAAATAAACTTTTATCAATCATTTATTTTATGTCATTTTAATTTTACAATAGTCAGTGACTTTTTACCTGTATTTTTTACCATAATATACGAATAACAATACAGAAGAGTTGGGTGTACCACAAGAACCAGTGTTTTAGGTTTTTTTTTGTATTAAACAAATTCCTAAAATGTCGGAAATTGCTTTGTGTTTATTACAATTTCACTTTCACACCAGATAATGAAAACCTATTTTAGATTTCCATTTATATAAAGCTTTCAATTTCGAAAAGTTATTGTAATTTGATTTAATTATTTTACATGTCTGTCCAATGAACTTTTTTTACTCAAACTGGTTTCCGTTCTGTAACAAAACAATAAGATAAATTATTTATTTATTTAAGTTTTAGATGGACCAGGGCCAATTAGATAAATTAGATGATAATAACAATCGTTTGTCAATAATACAATTAAAACAATGAAATGCAATTTACTAATAATATAAAATACTCTAGGCAATATATTTTTATGAATCAAAGTTTGGCGATATGAATAAAACGATTTCCAGATCGTTAATAGTAATAATAATCGTTCAAAAAGTATTTTCTTTCCAGGTCGGTTTTTGTCACGATAGCACCGCCTCACTGCATGGGCAATATTCTTTGCCTCTACATCGATGTATGGTGGTCGACACAGTCGATAAATAATAATTAGTTAACCTGTAAATAGGATATCAGCCAATTCATATAATCAAGTTATTTTCTTCGTAACGACCGCGCTAATCACCGAGCATATTCACTTTTTTTCTGATCTGCCTGTCGTACACAGCCGCGGAATTGTCAACTCTCATTGCCCGTTTTTTTTTTACATTTTCATTGCAAATACTTGAATCTGTGCGAAACACACCGTATGAATGAGTTTCGTCAATCATTCTTCGGCGAGTCTCTGAGGATCAGACTGCATTACAGTTTAAATTAGATATATTATTTTTTTTACTGATAATCTAAATAGTTTAGTAGGTAGGTACTGTGCCACCTTGTAAAAAATATTATCAGACGTTACAATCAAAATGATTAAGTTCAACAAATTGACTTGCAGTGATTAAGATTTTATTATTTAATCTTTAAATCTTAATATTAATTTTTGTAGGTATTCACCGGTAGGTACTCAAACTATTAACTATAGTATTATGTAGTAGAATACAAATTGAGACGACCTAGACGGGGAAGAAGTGTTGGCTGTAGGGTCGAGATCGCACAACAGGCAGTAAGGTAAAATTCGTGTATAAAGAATATATCTTGTGCACGAGAGGTTTGATAAACTGTATGAATATCCAGAATATCGTCGTCCAGGGTGGCTGTAGGCGTAATTCCGGGAAGAGTTGGTCCAGCGATCACTGCAACTAGGCCTTATATCTCAGTGAACTAATGTGTGTTTATGTAATACAGTGGCTATGCACTTGGGTACATGTGTATTGATGTTGCTGAAGGTCATTCTAGTGCGATTATTATCCTTATTTTTTTTAATTTGTGTGTGTGATTAATCTACTACTTAAGGGGCCTCGCTACTGTTATTATTTAAGGAGCAACATCTAGGCAATTTCTAATCTCATCATAACCGCCTGGTATCTATGTGTTAGTAGTAAATGATTATTAGTATGAGTGAGACTAAATGTGGGTACTGCTACCAGGTAAAACACGATTGCATACGTTCATTATCGTTGTCACATGTCTAACCGGAAAATTATTTTTGGACTCATTACTTTATAATTTATTACAATAATAGTTATCATCAGATGTTTTATCGTATTGACGTACAGCATAACTATTGAACAAATTAATAATTAACCAATGCCTTATATAGTCCGCACCTCTGCACTCTTCAATATAAAATTTACCGTGTACGAACTTACATAATACGTCAAATAATTATATACTATATAATTTTTTCATCATATAGGAACTAACACACACATTTTTTTTTAACATGTAAGGGTTTACACATCTCATATTTATATTCGTATAGGAACTAACGTACTTATATGTATTTTTTTCGTTGCTAGTTCTCGCGTAGTAACTTACATTCGCCCCTCTACTTAGGTACTTTTATCAAATAAAACTACCTATGTTATACCAAATATAAATAATACATTTATGTATACTTACCTAGTAGATAATATTATAGAAATGATATAAAAATCAGGAATATTATTAGATTTTTTTGACAGATTAATTTGATTGTACCTCTACAATCTGTATATCTGTTGTGTATATTTTGATGAATACCTAGTTCAAGAATTAGTATAATACAGTAATATAATATAGTAAGGAAGTTGTTTTAATGATTGAATATTAACTATTGTCTATTATAACCTAGTAGATAGTATTAATATTAGTAATATAGTAATAGTATACATAATAAAAAGCTAAGTACCTATACTTTAAATTAAACATTTTATAGTAATTTATAATTTATAAACAATGATTGACAGTAGATGGTATTGCAGAGGCTTTTTTTTTCTTTTGGGCTTGAATGATGTAGTCTGGATTTCTGATAGGTCTTCCAGGATGCCTCGGGTCTACAATTTCGGGCAATAAACAGTCGAAGAAAAAATTAGTTAATTTTGACAGCATATTTTGTTGCCAAAATAATTCGTCATACATAATTTTTTCAGTTTTGAATCCTTTTTTGGTCCATACACAAAATATGCAATATTTTCTTTTTGTAACATGTAATTGCCCTTGTACTTGAAAATGATAATTATGTTTTTTTTTGTAATCTCCAATAGTGCCATTCTTTTTTAGTTGCCAAAAAGTGATTTTTTTTGATAAAATACCTTCTTCGGGGGTTATTTCAGCAGCGGAAAATGGGCATTTTATTTCCACGATTCCATCGTCATCGATTAGTCCATCTGGAGTAGCACCCAGGAAAAATTCTTTGGAATCAATAAATAATCCACAGGGTTTAATTTTTTTCCCTAAATATTTTTCCAATTCCCTTAAGGCTACTGGTTCATTCTCACGACCATATTCTATTTGAGGAGCAGTGAACTGTGTTGTGTATAATAAACTTTTTACTACATTTTCGCAACCAGTATCAAGTCGACGATTAACAATTTTACCAAAGTTGGAGGCAGTTAAAAGTTTTCTCCTCGTTTCAAACCACTTTACGTTTTGATACTGATCAATAGTTTGACGTTCAATTTGTTCACGTTTTTTCACTAGGCTTCTCATTTCATTTAACACTTCCTCTTTTTGTTTAGAAAACTCTTCCTTGTCCATATCTGGTTTGCTGGCTTCATTTCCGTATGAAATATCAGTATTATTGTTTTTAAATAATTGTTTCCGAAATCGCTTAGTTTTACATCTCGATTGGTTTTGTCTTTCTTGTTTTTCTTTCCGCAACATTTCAAGAACTTTACAATTACTTTTTTTAAACGGACTATTTTTATACAATGCTTTATGTAGCGAATATATTGGGCGTTTATTGTTTTTACTTACGGTAGCTAACAAACACCTAGTATAATATGAATTTTTCAAAGCATAATTAACTCGTTTACCTCCTATAAATTTCGCAACAATTGAATTAAATGACTCAACTATGTTACTGTCAACATCCTGTAATAAGCTTGAACTGTGTCTTGCTAAGTTCCTTAAAATTTTGTTCAACGCCTCGTAAAATTCATAATCCTCGGATATTATTTTTTCAATATAATTTGCACCAATTAATTTTTTTTTATCACAAAAATACTCAGCACATGCCTCATGGTTACCAAATACATGATGAATCGTATTCATAATATCACTTCTTAAATCACTGACTGAATGACGGTTCGATTTTCTGTAACTAATTGCACAAACAATACCTTTTCTGATACGTAATATATTATTACTTAGTAATTTTCTGTGTTCTAATTTACCAGCTGATCTTTTTGTTGAAATGTCCCTTAATTTATTACACAGATTCCTAAGTAAATGGTTTCTGCACTCAACTTTTTCTACTGTTATATTTTTATAAGGTCTTAATTCTAAAATTTTTTGATAAACACTACTGTCACCGTCTGCTATTAGCTTATGATACCGTAACCCGTACATTGCTTCACTATTTTTAAATCCTTCAACTATTATAGAGGCTTCCATTCCCGATAAGCTACTTGTCACTGGCCAGTTTCTTGAGCATTTATGAGGGGATGGTTCATTACTACGTGCACAACTTGAACAGTATTTATTTCTAACCCCAAGATACAACACTTTTTTAGTTCTGTAACCGATAATGGCAGCCTAAAATAAAATGGTTTGTATATAATTATTATTTTGTCAAAAAATATATTGTTCACATAAAAATATAATAAATTACAAATAAAATTTAAAATTTATTTAAAATTTACTACACGATTTCATATAAATTATTCTTATTGTAATTAAACAATACTGCATAAAATGCGTACCATAGTCGATAAATTTTTTTTACAAGTGTTTGAATGTTGAAAAATTTCATTTTGTAGTTTAAAATTGTATAAAAAAATCAAAGAATGATAAATTTCTCTTAATTACTTTTAGTTAATCATATAAAAATATAAAAATATTTATTATAATGTAAAATAACCTAAGCTGACCACCGTTTTTCGTCGTATGCAATATTTATTAAATTGTAAAGCTTTTTTATTCACACTCACAAACCAAAAATAATTTCTAACTCCGTTCGAATCTGATAATTTAATTTGACTTTCCGGTTGACATTTTTTGACAAACTTATGACGAATCTTGCATTAAATTTTTTAATCTTAGATTTAAATAGAAAATTATTTATGAAT